CAAAGACCCTAAATTCAACTGTTCTATTGTTACAGCTGTGAAAGAGAAGCATCGATCTCTCCTGTCCAAAAGCTTGAGCTGAGATCTGTTCCTGATGCTGAAAACACTTTCTCTTTTCTCCATAGGTTCAGTACTGCGGCTTGCTGTTTCGCCATGAGGGCTGGCCCCTGTGTATTCACGAGAAGATTGTAGTCCAGCTGGCTTCCATTGACTGGCGAATCTTGAAGCCTGGTGACTTCTACCTGCAAGTGGTCCCCTATCTCAGGAAGTCTCCACGAATTGTACTGAAATGTTTGGCAAAAGACAAGCATAACGTAGAGGAAGTTGTGATTCCAGAAGTTTCCTATACCTCTATTTTCACTCTGGAATGGTTGAGTACTGTCAATGGAGAGCGGATGGGTATAGCACTGGAAAATTGTTTACTAACCACTGATGATAAAATATTTCGTGTCCCCTGGGATAAAGTGGTTAATCCTGAATTTATAAATAAACCAAAACTAATTGAAAACACTGTCATCTCTCCCGAAATAACAGAGGAACCTTCAATTTTGTGCCTCCCCATGGACCATGCTGAGTGCAGTTCACCAGACCTAGGATCTCAGTATCTACAGGAACAAAGTCCAAATCGAGACAACCTGGTTATTAGCAGCACAGCTCTGCAGCTGAGTGAAGCTCTTGTCAGTGGTGTGTGTACAAGTCCAGTGCCTCAAGAGAACTTGAAAAGTGACCTTGAAGGGGAGTACGTTGAGCTGACAGAAGTTTCACTGCCCAGGTTTGGGCCACCAACAGGCTCTTTAACCCAATCGCTAGCTTTAAATTATCTAACTCAGCCCAGGACACGAGTGAATGCGTCTAAAGGCAAGCACAGGTTTATTGTCATTCAAGACAGTATCTACTCCAAGAACTTAATTCAGTCGGCACTTATGCAGAAGGAGCACTGTCAAATGGACACTCTGAGGACTTCTTCCACAGAAGTTCTCAAGAATGTAATTCCGTTGGAAAGCAAAAAAACGATGGCACATGGAGAGCTGTCTTCAGAAAGTCAGCTGGCATCAGGTCATCCTGGAAACATGGGGAATAGCTTTCCTGTAGCTGAGTCTCCTGCCTGCAGTGCAGAAGATTCATCTGCAGAGCAGGAGACCCACAGTGAACACTCAATCGACTGGCGATATGCACTGTGCAGCTACAGCGACATGTGTGCTGGTGATGGTGTCAACTGCAAAGCACAAATGCCTGGTGGTCCTGGAAATGTGGAAGGAGAAAACGATGGTCTTAGTGGAAATCCTGGTGTTGAAACATCAGAGCAGAGCTCAGAAACAATTCTAGATGCTGCTGCTGTTCCTGCTAAAGAGGAGTTGATATTGAGAGGACATGGAGAACCACTGACTGAGGGTCAAAATGAGGTGACACATATGGATCCCTCTTCTGTGTCTGTCCTGGGACCTTCAGGACCACATTGCACACTGAAGGAAGGTTCTGATGTTTCTTGCCAGAGTGTCAGTAAAAGTGTTATGCCTGTCCAGGCTGGTACATTGCTTATCATGCCTGAGAGTTCAGATGTAGGTGTGGAGGGAGGCTCTCCTTCAGGGAACATGGCAGATGTAGGAGCAATTGATGCTTGCTGCAGCGATCAGGAAGCAAATCTTAGCCCTCCATTAAATCCTCCAGAACAGAACCAAGGAGAAGTAGATGAATTCAAGCTGGGAAAAAGGGACGGCCCTGAGGAAGTCAAAGAGATTGAACAAATATTGACTGTAAATGAGAATCAGACTAGTCATAGTCACCATTCTGTCAAGCCTCCTACAGATGGTGAAGAGCAAGAGGTCTCTGCATGTCAGCATAAGAAAGCTGAAGAAGCCACACTACTCCAAACTGCTCTGTCAGCAGAGGGAGATCAGACGGCAGAACGATTAAATAACAGTGACGCTTTGATGGGCCCTGATGCACAAGCAGAAGGCTCAAGTCAATTCAGAACCCAGAGATCTGGAGAGAGGTGTGAGGAACCACAAAGAGGGGCAGAAAACCAGGGCTGTAGAAGTGAAGAGAACTCTGTGTTGAACCCAGAGTGTGTTGCAGGACAGGACTTGCAGGGAGGGGAGGAGGACCAGGGAAGTTTTTCTTATGGGGAAAATTCAAAGACTGTAGCCTTAAAAACACTGGAATCCATTGAAGAGGAACTGGAGGTTGGACCACTGTCCTCAGGACCTGCTGAGGGGCATACAGAGCCCACCACTCTGCACTCCCACCAAGAGGCAATGTCTGGGGCATCATCTCCTAAAGGTACAGCAACTGGTTGTTTGTGTGTTTATCCGTTTGATAACATGGATCAAAAGCAAAGTCCTCAAGAGGTACCACTGAGAAGTATGTCTGCTGGGAGTCTTTGGGGTAATAGCACAAACTACAGGAAAGTGATTAAGTTGTCATTTTTGTGGCTTGAAATTAGCTTTCTCTTCACAGGTGGGTTTATTGTAGGTATTTTGTATTAAACAAGTTCTTTGTAAATTTACATTGGTACAGAACAAAGTTCCAGTTTAAGATATTTTTAATTTCAGTTAATCTGATCACTGGTGACCTCCACCCATTACATTCATCATCTGCACATTATGGATGCATGCAGTAGGAATGCATGAGAAGAGAATGTCTAACTGTACAAGTCTCTCATAGTTAAAAATTGGCTTTAGGAAGATAGTTGTGGCAAGAGGAAGCAGCAGTGGATGCCACAGTAAAATACTAGCTGTGTAACATGACCTGAAGATCAACAAATGTGTGTGCCGGTAACTGATTTAACAAGCAAACTGCAGAGTTGAGGGATTCCCCCTCTCTTCCCTCCCTTCCCCTCCAGCATGCTTTCTTCAGCTTGGCTGTGTTTCAAGTAGGAGCTGTTTAACTTGAGTGGGAGAGCACAGAGAAATTAAGCATCTAACTTCACCTCAAATGATGTGCTCAAGCAGGTATTGCCCAGACTTCTTGATGCCTGGGTTCCTGTGCTGGAGCTGTGCTCCTTCAGAAGGAATTGAACAGGCAATCTCTCTGCCTTTTGCAGCAGACTGTAGGCAGGCAGTGTGTAACTGCACAGACATGATGTTGGCTTTGCCTAGCTCTGCTGAGTCTGAAAAGCTGTAGCTAGATATGCAGATCACATAGAGAAGTGTGTGTGTTTGGCGGGGGCGGGTGAAACGTGCCATTCCAGTTCAACAGCTCTCATTCCCCGAGACCCCTGGCTAGGAAAATTACCCGGCTTGAAATATTAGAGTGAGGGCTCTTGAAAGGGTCAGAGGTACAGACCTACATTGTAAAGCATGTCTGACCCTGTGGAGGAACAGGTTGAGAGCTGGTCATCTTGGGACGGGCTGCCAGTGTAATGTTTGCACTAGTCCTAAATTGTGTGGATAAGAGCCTACGTCACCATGGCAGCACCTACTCCATTTGGCTGCAAACACAGCTACTTTCTCAAGTGTCCAAAAGTCACATTTTACCTGATGCCTTACTGTGACCTGCTAATGGAGCTAAAGTATCCATTGATTAAAATGAAATTTCATTAACACCTGCACCAAAATATTTTAATTCCATAATTAGGCAAGCCCATGGTTGCCAGGCATTTCTGATACTTTTAGAGTGACAAGCATTTATCTTCTGTGTAATGGAGGGGTCAGCTCAAAAATTTCTCTTTCTGAAGTGGGCATCTCTCTGAGCACTACCACCATGAGCAGGAAAAAAAAAGAGGTCACCTTCTGCCTATCTGTAGCTCTTGGGGGATGTATGCCAGTAAATAACCATGTGGTGGGTATCTGTTCCCCTGACCAAGCTGAACCTGGCTTGACTTCATGTTTGCACAGGACTGGACCTCAGAAAACCTAGGCTGTGTTGAGTGCTGGGTGTACACTTAGGACTCAGTGGCTGCTTGTTTGGTGTTCCCATCTCTTCTGTCTGAAATTAGCCAGGTCCAGCTCATGTATGAGATAAGTGTGATGTTCTCATTGCTCCACAGGACAAGTCTTGGCCACTGCTGCACATGTCAGCAATGACAGACCCTTCTGGGGTATGTGTGGAGCTTGGTTTTAATGAAAGACAATTTAAATGTTTCTGGGGATTTGGCTGAAATAAGTGACATATTTGTGGCCCAATTCTGATGATGTTAAACTTTGGCATTGCAGTTAAAAAAAAAAAAAAAAAAAAAAAAAAAAAAAAACCAAAAAACCCAAAAAAAAAAAAAAAAAAAAAAAAAAAAAAGCAAAAGAAACACCTAAATCACCAGAAAACGCCCCGAATAGACAAACTAAACTCTTTAAGGCATAGGACAGCTCAAATATCTGTTAATGCCGGGAGTATTTCTTAAACACTATAGCTGGAACTGTAATAAGCTTAATCCGTTCAATTACATTTGATTGCTTTGAGATCCAAACAAGCCATACCCTTATCTAGCCCCATTAAACCCCCAGAGACATAATAATAAGATAATTCAGAGATTACAAAGTGAAGAAAATGTCCTGCAAATGGACTTTCTCTTCCAGCCAGTCAGTCTGTAGGCAAGTTAAATTCTCTGTAACTGTCTCTTGTTGGGGTCATTTTGTTACTATGACTGGAAACTGTGGGTATCTTGCCTAAACTATAAATAACAACAAAGCTTAAGCTTTACTGGGCCAATTCAGATCTACCGTTCACACCTCGATAGTAGTTTGCGGACACACGATTTGCTGTATGGGAGGTGGAGGAGCTTTCTTGTTACAGCAGACATTGTAGATTATATCAAAATACACATTCAGAACTGGGGTATCTGAGTTTGCTGTGTCTGCAGATTTTTCCTTGTCCCTTAACTCTCTCGCCTTCCTCCCACTCCCAGTCACAAACTGAGCTTATTTTCTGCACAAATATGATCTAACTTAGAAAGATTTTGAGTCAAATGTGAGCTGGTTTGAGTTGGTGGCTTAAAATTTACACTGGTTCCATTCACAGGAAATCTGACTGCTCTTTTTCCCTAATGACTGACTTTAAGTGAAAGTGAATTTTGAAACTTTGCAGCTCTGGAAAGAATTCCTATATTTTGGGGGGTGGGACATACCTTGATATTCAAGAAATTGGCTGAAAAGCCACACTGGGGCATATTCAGCAGCACCTGTTAGGGTGTTCTGTTCCCGCTCCCTTTTAATACGTGAAGTTAGCATAGATGATACTGGTGCTGGGGCAGTTTGCAGGAAAAATGCTAATGTCTCTTTGAAATGCACACAAGCAAATCCTCCTCTACCACTTCCTTAACCTTGGGGAAAGGTGGAACCTGCAAACATGGCAAATTCAGATGTCCCAGTTCTCAATTTGCTTTTTGATGTAATCCTCCGCATTCTACAATTTCCGCTTTAGTAAGTGCCTCCACCCCAGATTGCAAATAGCAAACAGTGTGCTTGGGCCTGTTCAGAGGGAGGTGGGGTCTGCAGATCTGAACTGAGCCTGAGAAGCTTAGGGAAGAGGTTTGGTTGGGCAAGATGTACATAGTCTGGAGGCTGCACAACTCCAGTGAGGTTTCCCTGGGCCTGAAAAGCCCTAGTACCAGGACCGTGTCTGGTGGGCTGAGCGAAATGCTTCTCTCTTCTAGCTTTCAGGAGCTGCTACCTCATTCCTAAGAGATATCCAAGGCAGGGCTGCCATGTGCATTTAGGTCTTTCTCTTGCCCTTCAATATAGCTAGGTTCCCTTTCTTGTCTTCTTTAAATGCCACCTGTTGGTCCTCTTTGCAGGCTTTCTTCATTTAATGCAGATTCCTTTACTACAAACTGTGTGGTTCTGCTTATTGCCAGGCCTTAACAGCTCCTTGAGAAGATGATTCTATGATTCTCTGTCCTCCTAGAAAGTCTGTCAGCCTTTAATGTGAAACCTTTGAGGCATGACTTACATGACTCTGTGATCTTCATGACACCTCATCTATGGGAGATCAGCGCCCCTCTAAAATGCTGCTTCAGGAAGATCTAGCAGTGGTGTCCAAAGTGAATGACCTCTTGCGTCACTGGAAAGTGGAGGCTGAGGTACTAGGAACAGAACTGAGCTCTGATGCGTCCCAGAACTGTGCAGAGCCCTGAAGCCATTGCAGCAGCTTACATGGTCAAATGCAGCAGATGCCAAGCTGGGTCCCAGGGCTGCTCCCTCAAGAGGGGTATTACCAAAGAGTAATGAGCAGCTGTTCCGTCATGGCCTTGATGGTGCAGAGCTCTGGAGCCCCTCCTAGTTTCCCCTTACTGTTGGATAATTTTGCGCAGTGAGCCACGCTGCTCAGGGTGCTTCTCTCGCCCACTTTAGCAATTTTGAAAGCAGTTTGGGCTGAGCCTCAACCTGTAAATCTCCTTCACTGCCAAAACTGGTATTGAAAGCCACTTCAAGGACTGCTTTGTTCCTGGTCCTGCTCTTTAATGAAGCATTGGAATCTGTTAGTAAATAAACTGAGTCAAGTGTCAGCATTGTTGATGCAGCAGGAAGGTAGGATGGTTGAAGTCAATTTTAAATAGCAATTAAAACGTCTGACTTCATAGCAAGCAAATAAATACTCCACTCTTTTATTTTCCTAAAGAGAGGTTGGGTTTTTGTTGGTAGATACTGAAGTATTAGGATTTGCAGCAAAGTATAGCCTTTTCTTTAGTATATCTTTCTATCAAACAGTGGGATAGTCTAGCTGTGTGCTTAGGATGCTAAAGACATGTTGTTAAAGATGTATTGGCTTCTAATTCTTACAATGTTGGGAAATGGGGAATAATACTCCTTACACAGTAGGTATATTTCTTTTTTCTTCTCTCCAGCTATTTTTACATGAAAATTGAAACTTGATAAAACTAGCATTAGTTTCCATGTAGTAGCTAATATATTTAATTTTAGAATTAACTGAGTCTGATAATTTGTACTTTAGAGCTGAGGTGCTGGGGAAAGGAAGCATTTTCTTCCTGTTCTCAAACAGAGCTGATTGGTGTAATCATCCTGTTCTTCAGGGTTTTAAAATAGGTTTCTGACTTTCACATTAACTGTTAATTAAAAAAGTCTGGATGAGCAGAACAAGGTCTCTGGCTAATTTCCCGCTGATTTGTCAGCCTCGAGTTGACTTCATATTTTCAGGAACGAATCTGAAAGTGGTGCTGGGGGAGTAATTCTGCTCTGATGGAGCAGCTCTCCCTGTCAGAAGCTGGTTTATCACTTCAGCATGCTCAAGCTTCTGGAGCTTAGCCAGGGACTTGCACCGTGCCAGACTTTCAGGCTGTGAGCAGACATGTACTGCTCGATATGTTACCTTTAAAAATGACTTTGACTACAGTAATCCTGATCTGAATTGAGTTTTTGTAACTTGCAAACTTCACAATAAATTGGTTTATTTTTTTAGAATTACAGTAGTAATTAATAATGTTATAACCAGTTTTGGAACATGCATGCTACTGGCACAAAGACTGGAGGAGCTGCAGAGTGCTGGGGCTGGGGGTACATCCCTCCCCAGTCTGGGACTTACCTGGGACCTTTTGGGTGGAGCTCTGCTCTAGCTTGTGACTGCTGCTTGTCTTATAGGGATGGTGTCAGAAGGGGCAGAGACGAGGAAAGAAGCAACTGGCACAGATGTGTTGAAACCAGTGAGTAAAGTCAGTGCCCTGGAGGAAACCTCAACAGCTGTTACTCCCCCAACGTCCCCGGCTTCTGGGACTGCCTGGGGTGGTCGGTCTGCACCTACCATAATCAAGGATGTGAACCCAGAAGTGCTCAGGAGCGGAGTTGCCTGCCTGCCTGGTAAGTAGCTGAGCCAGAATGTGTCTGGGAAGCGTGGTTTGTAGGAGGGCAAGGGAGATGAGCCTGTGTTTGCAGCACTGCAGACTGGTACCAATTCCATTTCTTTCACCTCCAATTCCATTTATTTCATCCTCTAAAGTTTCTGGATGGGAAGGACAGGAAGTAGAACTTCCCTCTCATGAAAGTAATGTTAACTTGCTCCCAGGAGTCTCAGAATGTTAACCAAGCGCGTATGAGTCAGAAATGCCAAATCTGTGGGCTCATACCAGTAGTTCAAAAAGAGAAGAGTGAGGGTGCAGCTAATGATGGGCTGGTGGGCCTGACATCAGACCTCGTCAAAACAATAGGAACTTGATTCACTTGGTAGATAATTAAAGGATAGGAGTGTAGAAGATGCTATTTGGCAGTGCTCTTGTAAAACCAGTTTTATTCTTGCTAATTAGAAGTTTGGTTGATTAAATGTAGCTGCCTAGATATAATAGGCTTTTAGAAAATATTTGATTTCATGACACATAGTGTTGAAAGGAATATCCCAATGAAGTGTGGATGAGCAACATGTGGGATGAACGATAGCATAGCTAAATAGCAGATGACAAAACTATCAAGGGAGGACTTCCCAGAATTGTTCTGCCGAGATCAGTTGTAGGTCAAATGTTATTCAGTGTTTGCATCTGATATGGTGGCAAGTATCAAACTGCTGCAGATAAAACTTCTGCATGGGACAAATATTGGCAGAGTGGTAAACAAAACCAAGGCTGTTGGACAGATCAGGCAGGGATTGCTTGGTGCACAGGGCCCACACAAGAGGTCTTTGTGTTTAACCAAATATGAAGTAAAGCAGAGGAATTGAGATCTACCTCTCCAGTGCAAAACAGCTGTGTGGCAGTGTCTGCGTAAGCAGCCCCTGTGGGCTTGCTTCCTTCCACAGCCAGTGAGAGGGGTTGTCCAGTGTGGGGCAGGAAGATAGCTACATTCGATCAGCTCAGGAGACACGTATGAGTCAGCAGTTGTCCAGAGAGCAGAGAAGAGTTCAGGCGGACCTATGCAGCATGGAGAAATTGGGAGGGAGACCAGAAAGGCAGCACAGTGATTTCCCACCAGTGCTGGGGATGCAAGACCAATTTTGACCTTAGATGTTTACACATCTAAGGAGAGGGGATGACCAGCCAGGTTAAGAAAGTGATTTTTACTTCTGTGTACTTATTGGTGATGCCTCTCAAATAGTTTGGGCTGTTCTGATGCCTTTGTTCTAAAAGGAAATGGTGAATATTGGAGGTGGTGCAGAAAAGGGTGACAGCCCTTTCTTGTAACTGAATTGGATGTCACCTGGCAAGAGACTGGAAGGTTGTTTATCTCATAAGATGATTGAGAATGAGGTGGAAACACCTTTGTGCAGGAAGGAAAGGGCAATAAGACTTCTAGTCTTCTGGAAAAAGGTGAAATGAGAAACCAAGTACAGGGCAGAGTTATGGTACATTCAAACATACTTTGCATTGGTAGGTAAACTGTTAAGAACGAATTCCAAAGGAGGATTTCTAATCTTCTGACATGCTGATCAGGTTGGATGTCTTAAGGTGTGTACAACAGCCAAAAAATTACAGGGTTTGAGAGGGGGTCTTTAGACTCATAGTAGAAGAGAAGCTGCTATTGTAGAAGCCTGACTGTGTGATCTAATGCTCTAGTTGTTTCCTCTGTCGCAGATTCCTATCATAATGTACAGCTGTTAAACGAGGCAAATGCATTTGAATATGGGATGAAGGGATGTGCCCTTGAAATGCATTGAAGAAACAAGGTTTGGGTTTGATACCACTTCCAAGGGCATTTTCATTTAAGGGAGGAATCGTGTTTTCTCTAGAAGCAGTATCAGATTTGACTGACATCTCTCACGTGTCTCCTTTTGGATTTCAGTGGGCAATCCTCACACCTGAGGGAATGCACTCACCACTCAGTTAAATGCTTTATGTTAGACATTGGTAATGATATAAGAATTACATTAGAAAGAATAACTTTTATAATGAATAAGAGCTAATTAATAAACTAGTAGCTGATGGAGTTAGGAAGGAATTTTCCTTTCAGGAGAGTTTCAATTCTGCATTCTGCTCTTGAATCATCTGGTTATGCCACTATTGGAGACCTAGCCCTGGTGGCTGTGGTTGCTTTTTTGACCTGGTCAGACAATTCCCAGGCTCCTTTATGGAAATTCAAGGTTTAATCAAGTTCTGGTGATGCCCAGCCTCCCTGATGGACAAAAGATGTTGCTTCAGAGTAAGAAAGTTTTTACTGAGCCTGGTTATCGAGCCATTTTTCCAGTAACTGAGTGCTTTGCCTTTTTTTTTTTTTTTTTTTTAATTTTCTGATGATCCCCTTAGCTTATGAAACAAGGTATATTAATAAGCTTTTTCTAATTTTTCTCCAGCTCTTTGATTTTACAGTGTCCAGAATACAGTATTTCAGGAGTAAGAAAACTCCTCCTGAATCACGCAGATGATGAAAGATTTTGTCCCTGCTGTTAGCAGGAGAAAGCCTGTGTCACAGTTCTGGTCCCTGGGAGGAAGAAAGCCCTGCTTCTAAATGATGACCATCTGTGTCTATGGCTCTCACTCAAGTCATGTCCTAGTGACAGACTGAGGTCACACCAGGGCGGTTTTCTGTGCTTGGGGCTGTCCATCTGTATCTGTTTTACCTGTCAGCTCACATGCTTGTCCCCTGAGATGGGGAGAGGGGTGGTCCAGGACAGTGTCTCCTGTGGTAGCAATAAAGTTCAGAAGAGACAGACATAGCTTTCTCTAAGCCTCTGGTTTTGTCTTGTGCTTGGGAGTCCCAACCCCCCCCCACACCCAACACCACCAC